CGTAGAACTCAATAGTAACGCATACACCACTTCGTTATGCAAAAAAACACTAATAGCAACTCTTGCCATTTAATTTTATGAATGAATATCCTCTTAGATATAAAATAGCCATTTTCAAAAAGTTCTATAAGAGAGCACACAAGAATCAATCCTCTCGTGCTCCTTTCCTTAAAGAACGCAGTATAGTGAAACAAACGTTAATTAACAACGTTTTTTGAGCTACCTCATCGATCACAAGATTAGACTATTTCTTTCTAAGATAAGCAATAGCAACAATGAACATACAGATAAAAACAAAAGCATTAACTTTTTCTATGAAACAAAATTCTACTTTAACTAGAAGCAAGATAAAACATTATCTTAGAAACATTATAAAGAAATACGCACAGTCGACCAGAAGAAGAAAATTAAATTAATTATATACTATCAAAAAGTAAAACAACTAACCTTATCATTAATAGTAACAACACAGCTGCAAGATCTAACTTACAAAAACCAAATATTATACAGGAATTCACATACCCTTTAAAGAAAAGCGTTCCAGATCAAACCAAATTCATGAATTCATGTCTATCAAGAAAACTCACGTTACACTTCGCTGACATTAGATCAATTAGAATTCATTTAAACACACGAAAACCTGCCAAACACCATTCAAAATATACTTGTAGAAGTATAAGATTCTTATCCACATTTTAAAAAATACTAAAAATAATGAAAACACTAATAATAACAAAGAAAAAGCAAACATATGACATCAAATATGAACAGGGTCACAATCTTCTGACCGTATTTAGAAAATAGAATTACATTGCTATATCCCTAGATGCATATGTAAAAATCCATATATTCAGTTAAAAATCAAATCATCCTTGATAATGACTAAAAGAATAGCCGAAAACGCTCACATATGTCGAAGATTTGGACAATGTTCTAACAGTGTGTACAGAAAAGAAAACACGTATAGGAACAGAAGAAAAAATAAGTAAAAAGATTAATCGCAGTACCTTGTCAGTTGCCTTTAATGAAACGTGTATAAAAGCGGGTTTGCTGCTCAAATGAACAATTATATATATATATATATATATATGTGTGTGTGTGTGTGTGTGTGTGTGTGTGTGTGTGTGTGTGTGTGTGTGTGTGTGTGTGTGCTAAGTTGACCTCACAGTTGCATATGATCAGATTGAAATTGATTCCTCTTTACATCCCAGCTCCGACTCCACTGAATATCTAGCTCTAATGGAGGAATTATATCTGTCCTAAAAGTCGTACATATCTAGTGAAGACGCCAATATCTTGAACCTAATCAAGAATAAGGCAAGAAGGAAATGATAGTATTAAACTATTTAATATTTTGCTAAACTACGCCATGCATATATAGCGTTCAAATGTAGAATGAATTACACTTATAGTTTAAGCATGAAAACATCCCAAATGAAGCTTCCAGGTGCATATATACTGATGAGGGGGGGGGCGCTATGCCAGTGGCATACGTATTCATATTCGTACATAAGTTAGGGAGGAAGCCGGCATCAAAACTAATAAAGGTGATAACAGTGAGTCTGAGAAAACTATTTTCCTGAAAATTATTTAAATAGTAAAATTTTATAAATTTCAATGGGTGTTAGCACTGGATGCTCAGGCAATGATGTAAGCCAGTAAGACATAGCGAGTTACTGATTGTGAAAGAATAAGTAAAAGGGAAACATTTTTGAGGAGAGAGTAAAATAAAAGATAAATCAAGAAGACAGTGGATAATGATTGAGACAGCATTTACATTTTTAAAGATAAAAGTTGATTGGGAATGAAGGAGTTTGAAAAGGGCTCCACAATCGAGATGTACTATAGCGGAAACTGTTGACAAAGAACTTACAAATGCATCTAGCAACTTCAACTGCAAGATACTGAGATCTTTTTTGTCAAACCAATAATTCACTTAAATTCATAATGTCTAGATACCATAGAGGAAAGATCATTTGAACAATTACCTGGCGGTTATTTATAGAAAAGGCATAGGGAAGCGAGATTACGACGGTGGGAATGCAACCGTAGTCGGGGCGCCAGGTCAGGATCAGTGACATTGCAGATTCTTTTGGGGATTTTCATCAAGTATCTCTAAATATATAGCAGGGGTACCAGAACACATGTGGCAGAAATATTTGAAGCATGGGCGAATGATAGACTTGTAAACATGTCTAGTAAATATGTAAAATAGATTCAGTAGAGAAAAAATCTCTAGTACGACGTATCTATCTATCTATCTATATATATATATATATATGTGTGTGTGTGTGTCTGTATAGGTTGTGTGTATATGTGCGTTTGCATATACACCCAAACTATATTTTTTATACGTTTTTTAAGAAAAAACAAACGACAGAAAGTTTAAATATTTAAATAGCGACAAGAAGACAGTGAAGAAAACCAAATCATTCATAGATAGAAATATAGGAGGCATTTAGAAATAATTTTGAAGAAAAGTTAGAAAAGATAGGAATAATAAACACGGAAAACGAAAAAAGATTAAAACGAAAAACAGTGGATAGAGAATATTATTATGGAAGATAGAATCGGAGAGAAAATGAAAGGAATAAAAAAAATTCAGAGACTAAGTGCTAGATTAGGAGAGTGGTATAAATGAACTTTTAATATCGAACTTAAGTGAAAGTTGAAAAAAGAATATATATATATATATGTGTGTGTGTGTGTGTGTATTTGTAGGTGTGAACTAGAAAATTCTGAATCCCTCTCCAAACCAAAATTTAATTAATGGAAAAAGACATAAATGAAAATGACGAAATATCATTTATCGAACATGGCTCTCGCTCTCTGAGGTACGTGAAGCTCTTTTTGTTGAAATTTGAACGTGACAGTTCTATAAGTGTAATAACTTTTAGAAGCTTTTACACTGTAAATGAAAATGCTGGTAAGTGTATTTTACGAACAAAGTATTTTGCTGTTCAAAAATGGATAACGTTACAAAAAATGTAATAATAAAAAGCTTTTGAAAGCGCTTTCTTTAATTCTTGAAAGTGAAACTGCATACAGCGAGGGAGGAAGGTGCTTCCCACTGTCTTGTGACTTTCAACGGAGGACCCGTCAGTTTGTCAAGGCTAACTGTTGATATCTTGTCATGCAAAAACCACTGCAGGTTGGAACAGCTCCAGTGTTCTTACATAATTCAATTGTAAGGATGTGTATAAAAAATTGGATCTCGATCCACCACAGGCTGCTATACAGTCACAAAACTAGGAATATCAGGTTGGTATTGAGAGCTCGTCTAAATGGGAGAAAAAGTCCACCAGAAAACCTACGACTTCACATCATCCCTAATCATTGACACACTGCGTATAAATCCTTGCTTTAAAGAATGCGATCAGTTATTCAATTTACAGTAAAATTATACTTGCACAAGCTCGACGGATGCTCCACATTTTTGTAAGAATCATTGAAAACTACCAAAAATCATCTTTCGCAAAGTCAGTCCATTTTAATTCCATGAGAAAAGTTTTGTATTGATTGTTTGGTTTATTAAAAAAAGTGAGGCATACATGGGATGGACGATTTTGAATGTTGTCACAATAAAAGCAGACATTAAAAAGCAGTTCATAACAAAAATGATGTGGTAAGAAAAAAATTATTACCGTAAAATGTTAAAAACGATTAAAAACTGCCAAACCGGTTTATCGGCCCACTCTCAACGGAGCAAAAATCAAAGACAAAAGCAAAAGTGCACATCAAACACACTTCAGATTGCGAATATTCCTGTTACAAAGTAAGAGACTGATTGATTTGTTTTTTATGGCTTATCAATCCTTTCTTGATTATTATCAATCCTTTCTTGATTATTATCAATCCTTTCTTGATTATTATCAATCCTTTCTTGATTATTATCAATCCTTTCTTGATTATTGAAAGGCGAAAGATATTTTTCTTTGTAAGATTATTTCTTTTCTTGCGAATGAATATTACATTAATATTTTTTAGAATAACAACCATTTTTACAGATACAAGTTCAATTATTTAATCCATAGCTGGAGAGAGGAGGAGGAGGAGATAGATTAATACTCATCCTAAGGGTATTTGTGCGTAAGTGAATATACCAAACCCGACTGAAATTCGAAATCGGCTCTACGATTTCTCATTTCGAGCCTCAATCCATGATGCGTATCCTCTTATGTAGTGAGTTTCTAGCCCCACACATAAATGGTTTCAATGTAGAATTTTCCATCTCATAGACCAGCTGAGTTGCTGCGAAAGTGAAATCGGCTGGAATGCTTTGCTTCCACGACGCACACGCATTGGTATAACTAATATACAGCAAAAATATTATTCTTATACATTATGAATACTGTGTGGGAGGAAAACCAGATAAAGTTCTACAAAAAAAAAATTCTGAACTTTTATGTAATATCCAATATCCGACACGGCCGGAAATACTGAAGAATTTCCTCAGACAAGAAACTTGACCTGACAGTGATACGGTTGTAATGCAAAATGCTGAAAATTTTATAAGCAGAAAATTTGATCGACGGTGAAGTCTTAAACAGAATATGAACAACATAAAAATTGATCCTTACAGTCAGGAAATGAGAGATATATCTTAAATTGTTTCGGTTATATAACGAGGAAAGAGGGACTGGATAATTTGACAGACGCAGGATATACTGAAGACAAGAGAAATAGAAATACGATTAAACCACTAAACAAGTTTGATTTGATTAATTCGTTTTCTAAGGTTTATCAACCCTTTGCAGATTATTTAAAGCCAGAAAAATATATATAAATATATTTTTAGATTGCAATTCTTTTAGATGATAATGATTTAGTAATACAAGTTTTATTACTTAACCATGAGCTGGGGGAAAAGAGGTGGATTCATACCTTTTCCAAGGACTATTACATGTAAGTGAATATAACGAATTCAACAGGACTTGTAACTCGGCTTTCTGATTAACAATTCCGAGCAATTATCCAGTACACCAACCGTACATCCAAGCTTTCATCACCTGCTATTGCGAAGCAGTCACCCATCTCGGTACTTACCAAACTCGACGTTGCGTAACTTCGGTGATCATACGGGAACCGGTCTTTCAAGTTGATGTGGTCGTAGGCCTTAACGGGCTTGTATGAATGGATAGTAGAACAAGGAAAATGCGGGTGTCTACATGTTTGAAATTGCTTAGAAAAAAGAAATGGTGGAGAGCCATAATCACTTTGTCTTGGAAGGAATAGGCGTATAGAAGAAGAAGAAGAAGAAGAAGAAGAAGGAGAAGAAGAAAAAATGGCAGTAGAAGTATGTAATTATATAATGTATAGGAAACAATTCATTTATGCAAGTAATACGCCTTTCTGTTGTAGCCTACAAAAGTAGTTTTTAATATGTTAATATTCTTTTTTAGATATCTCAGAAGAGTGTATTTCAAAGGCCACTAGACAATACAGGAGCCTCAAGGAAACACCTGTACGACAATACGAATACTGTATTAAAAGATATTTTCCACTGTTTATGGATGACAAAAGTAATTGCTATAAAATTTACATTGTTTTTCTTACATTATCTTAGGAAATATGAGGCGTTGGAAACATGATTTACCTTTAGAATCACCTCCTTTCTTTTATGCATGGCGTAGACGTTGTCTTGAATGTTCTTTCGAAATGTGGATCAATGTCCTTAATATGGTATCGTGAAATATCAACAATTTGAATTAAATATATTCTGAAACATTATTTTGATTCATAAGAACGTTATTGTGAGTTGTCGGCCATTTACTTCATTAATATGTGTTTCTTGAAATAGCAAGAATATACGAAGATATTTGATCAGGTTTTATTAGTCTATTCGTTTTAATCATTTCACCCCAGGCAAGGCAATAAATCCATTAAAAAGTACGGGGTTACTGAGTGTGAGAGAATACTTAAACAAACACTATTACAGAGAGAGAACAATAAAATAGCCGGAATTAAGAAGACAAAAGATAGCTATTGACATTGCATTTTAGTTCTTGAACATCAGAGTTAACTCTAAAGCAAGAAGCCGGAAGAGATTTCCATCAGCGAAAAGTGCGAGAGAAGAAACTGTTAACATAGAGCTTACGGTTACATCTTTCTATCTCACCTGTATAAAGATGGGACCTTGCCGCCAATCTAGTACTGCGCTTCAAATTTATAAATTCTAGATATCAAAGAGGAAAGCTCATTAGAAAATATTTCTAGAAACACCACAGAGATTCTACTTTACTTAAACTGAGATTCAGAAAGAGACAGTCGAAATATCTCGGACATATATTGACAAAATAGGACTTAGAGAATTCGCAGGAAATACAGAAGGCAAGAAAGAATTCTACACGTAACTTACCTGACGAACTTGTTTAAATGGATGACAGATCAAGTATTAGGAGAGATATCGAACAGACAAACATTACTAAGAGCTACAAAGAACAGGACATTGTGGAGAGGCATGATCACTCACGTTTTAAGGAGACAAGAAATACAGAAGAAGAAATTCTTTATATGTTTATATAAAAAACAATTTCACCACAATAGAGACCATTTTAAAATGCGCTCAATCAAACTGAAACCCTCTGTCACGATGACTTGGGATTTTGCGTTAGCAGACATATCAACGATTTCTGACCAGTTTCCTCTACCCAATATCACTAATCAAGCTCGGTACGGTTTTTCAAACACTTACCTAACGTTGCAGTACTACAAACGCATAAATATTGTTATTTATAGTGCTATTCATGCTAATAGTGCTACAGATATTTAAAGTGCTACAGATATTTATAGTGCTAATTCTGGCAGAACACTGCATTCATACCCAGTTGAAAGATTTTTTAATTTTCAATGGTACTAAAGCTCCGAATTTATACTATTGGAAGCAATTAGGAAATTTCACTGTTTATTTTTTTCATAACTACACTGTGCGTACGTACTTATTTCTTAATGTTTCCTTAATACAAGTTCCAAGAGATATTCAAGGTAAATCCATACTAAATGAGGTGGCCGTATGAGCGTAAGAAGAAGACAGAATAAATGTAGATTGTGAGAATATGCTGGAGAGATAACGGTTGAACCTAGAAATGAGAAGTTAAGTTAGCGATCGAGGAAGCATTTGCATAAAGTACAATGTCTTGGGAAAAAGTACCCTTCTTTCTTATGAATGAGGTAGGAAGTAAATGAGGATAACTCGACCCTGTGTACATGACTCAATGGATTCCAAGAAGTAAAGGTTTGAACTGTTGGGACTAAGAGGTGTAGCTCGACTGAACATTTGTCATGAAAATAGCGATAGTGTAACGTTTGTTTGCAACGTTTAATCTGTGGGAAAGGGGTCGAGTAGAAAATAATTCATTACCTTTCCTTAAAGGACGCTATCTCTAAACCTTGAAGCAATTTGTATATCAGTGTAATTGTGAAATCTTTGATGGGTACAAAGTGTAAACATAGATATATGCATTTATAGGAATAATAAGCGGAATATAGTGTTCTCCTTTTGCTTAAAATTGTCTGACGTTGACTGGATTTGAGCGGTTTTTTTTTAGTGTGGGCAAGCACTTATACTGCCATTACTCCACTGGTTAACATACAACGCAAGTAAATTTTCGTAAGATTTCACGTACCTGTTTTTTCTATGTTTTTGTGAAAACTATTCATAAAGTTCCGATCCAAAAACCATTAAAATCAATAGTTTTGAAATGCTTTTATCTGAATTTTCAAAAGTTTTCTAATATGGGAATAGTCAGAGATTATCGAGTGCAGATTGAATACATAACTCTATAAAATGAATTTGATTTTTTATCTCTGAATAGAAGATGCATTTGTGTGACATTATTTATTCTGCATCCAGTGAATACGAGTTTGAGATAAATGTAAACTGGCAAGTTATATCAGATAAAAAAGGACAGGGTCCGTTAGAAAAATACGTAATAAATGCATCGTACATTTTTACATGAAGTTTAAATAAGAATTTTTTATTAAATATTATGGTATTTCTGAGATGAGGAATTATATTCATTATTTCAATTATTCGGACTATTTTCCTCATCTTTGTAGCCATATTTATTACAACGTCTCAGCTCAGGTGGTTGTAATGTCGAACTGAACCCTTTATTTCGCTCACTGGGGTAGACTGTTATAGTTCCACGTGCCATGTTTAAAGGTTGTCAGTTATCAGTTATCTCCTGTTAATTTCCCTCTGAAAGTTCTCCACTGCCTCCAATGCCGGGTATTGAACTCACACACTGGGTCCTGTCACTGGATCTAAACAACACCTCTATCCACTGTGCCTCGAGGACATCTGTGTATGAATTTCTGGGTATTATAAACCTAATCTCTCAGCAACCATTTTTACCAGACCAGAAGGATACAAAATGACCAGGATAAATCCTTCAGATATGAATTCGATGTAATCAAGGCTCGCCAAATACAAAAATTAAATAGATTGAAATATCAGAAGGTGACGCACAGGGTCCATCACCCACCAGTGAATGCAGTAGTCAACATAAGCTAATATCAGCTGAGTGCATCTGAGGAGTCAGTATTGAATAAGGGTTACAAATTTGCCAGAACCATCAGGCGAGTGCCATACTTGGACATCATTGCCAGAGTCGAGGAGGTGGCCTTGAACATCCCTCAGACTCAGGCGGATGAACTGAGATGCAAGGTATTCCGCTCAGGCCGATTGTTAGTTGCCAAGGCTCTGTGTGCCACCCTCTGAGTCGCTTCCTTGTAGATATAATTGACCCATTGATCGGAAAGTCTCCTTCATATGTCCGAACTTCCGCCCACTTCGTGGAAATAATCAAAGTGGCTCCCATCCTATCTAACCAGATGGTGATCTTGAACGTGGTGAGTTTGTTCACCAAGGTACCCACGGAGGAGTCACTCTCAGTAGTCAGAGACAGATTGGCTTCTGATTCATCCCTAAAAGAACGGACCAGTATTCCAATAGATAATCTGATGGAGATGTTGACTTTCTGTACGCATAAAACACACTTCGGAATGGGATCACACATATATCGACAAGATGAGGGCTTAGAAATTGGCTCGCCATTATCACCAGCAATGGCGAATATATACATGGAATACTTTGAGGAAATGGCATTAGAATCTATACCTCTAAAGCCAACTCTATGGTTAAGGTACGTAGATGACACCTTCATACTCTGGCCACACCAGGAAGATGTTCAGGTTCTACTGGACCATGTGAACTCAATAAGACCTTCGATACAGTTAACAATGGAGAAAGAGGGTAACAGCACATTCCCACTCCTGGATGTTCTAATATCTCGAACAGAACATGGGTTCAAGACATCCGTATACCGTAAACCGACATTCACCGGACAGTACCTCCTTTTCAACTCCCACCATTCATACAGCATAAAGAAAGGGATCGTCCACTGCTTACAACACCGAGCAAAAGTCATAAGTGGCGATCCAGAGACATTAGATAAAGAATTGGTCAGTATAAGCAGTACCCTACAACATAACAACTAGCCTGGGTACATGGCAGCAGTCCCAAAAACTGGTATAGGCGTGTACAAGAGAACAACAGCACTCAAAAAACAGTCTGCCTGCCTTATTTGAAGGGGTTATCAGAGAAAATACAAAGGACCTTCGGTCCATATAACATCAGGATAACCTTCAAAATTTTGACGACACTTCACAGATATCTCCCCCGAGTAAGACCACCCCATAGAGGAGACAGGCCGCCCCCTTAAGGTAAGGGTTCAAGAACACCAGAAAGCTGTAACACGGGGGGAATTGGAAAAAATCAGGTATGGCTGACCACATATGAAAAGGGAGATCACCGCCCTTTGTGGGACCAGGTTGAAAACATAGGCAAAGAACATCATTGAAAAATTCGTAAAGTTAAGAAATCGGCACATATGCCAGGCCACAAAAATCTCCTGAGCCGACCAAGCATAGAAATGAATACAATATAGAAACCAGTAATAAGGAATGCCAGAGAAAAGCAATACTAACAATAAAAGTTGTAATATGAGCCCTGGTAAAAATGGTTGCTGAGACATTAGATTTATAATACCCAGAAATTCATAAACAGATGTCCTCAAGGACGCATAGCACAGTGGATAAAGGCGTTGGTTA